TTTTCCCCCTTTATTTTATTTATTTATTTTTTAAATCAATCTTTATTATTCATATTATTACAAAGGTTCCTCATTTCTTCCCCCCTCCACCAGGTTCCCATCCCACCCACCCTACCCCCCCCTCCCCACCCCCATTGTCCTCATCCATAGGTGCACAGTTTATGTTCAGTCTCTTCCCGCATCCACCACTCCCCCTTTCCCCGAGAATTATCAGTCCACTCCCCTCCCGTATTCCCGACTCTACTACAATCAACAGCTAATATTGTTCATCAGGTTTTTCAATCTCCTTTGTTGTTGTTGTTGTTGTTTTTTAATTAATAAACTTTTACACTTCTAAGAATAAATTTTAAAATCTAATAATTTTAAACCTTGTTTTTTTCTGCCCTGGGAATTGAGAAGCAAACTTGTTTACATGTAAACTTGCCCTTAGGCTATCAAAAGGTGTAGCCATTCAAATGTAAATGAACATATTGTTTAAAGATAGCTGCTGGTTGGAATTGGATTACCTGTTCTGGCTGGGAAGGGCTTGTCTTCCAAAGGGTATTTTTTTAAAAAAGCTTTAGGCAGATCCCCACAGGCCAGGCTGAGGGACCCCACCAGTGAATGAATCCATCTGCTCCCTGGTGGTCTCAACTACCTGTCGAAAATTCGGACAGTTGAACAGTCAGACTCTTAACATATTAGGCTTTTATATATACAGATATGCATTACATATGGACACAGGTAATACGGTGGTGAAGGCCTGGGGTGGGATGGGAACTGAGTGGAGGGAGGCAATGGGGAGGAAAGGGGTTTATCTGTAATACTTTCAACAATAAATATTTTTTTAAAGAGATTTTGCCCATAATATCAAAAGACAGCCCAAAATTATTATAATAAAAAAAAGTTGACAGTTATGCAGCAGATGGGGATATTAACCCCTTCTCATTTTGAAATGCCAAAGGCAAAAATTAAAAGATAAATATTAATTCTTCTTGCAAGACTAAAGGAATTGAAGTCCAAGATAAATATTCTTGCTATTGTGAATGAAAAGACCAAAGATATGCTCATGCCTCCTTTCTCTTCTCCTGTATTCTAGCCATGCTGTCAGTAGCAGAGTGTGGTCAAGAGATCAGTTACATGAAGGCGTTGAGCATAACAGGAGCCAGTTTACTATGGAAAGGAGATAGGCCATACTAAACACTATGGCCAGCCATGTGGCTCAGTGGTTGAGTGTTGACCTATGAACCAAGAGGTCACTGTTCAATTCCTGGTTAGGGCATATGCTCAGTTCCCAGTGTGGAGTGTGCAGGTGGCAGCCAATCAATTATTCTCTCTCATTATTGATGTTTCTATCTCTCTCTCCCCCTTTCTCCCTGAAATCAATAAAAATATATTTTTAAAATCCTATATAATAAAAGCCCAATATGCTAAATGTCTGGTTGTCCATTCAACCAAATCAAAGCATGATATGCTAATGATATGCTAAGGTAGATCAACTGCTCATTATGACGAGCACTGACCACCAAGGGGCAGATGCTCCACCTGGCAGGTTAGATTGCTCCTGGGACTGAGTGAGACAGGGCTGGAACCTTCCCATGGTCCCTTCCCAGCTGGCCAACCTCCTGTGTCCCTCCCCAGCCCTGATTGTGCACCAGTGGGGTCCTTTGACCTGGCCTAATCCCTCTCACAATCAGGGACCCCTCAGGGGGGCACATTGACTGTCAGGTAGTTCCATCCTATATAATAAAAGTCTAATATGCAAATCAAATGGCAGAACAACTGGTTGCTGTGATACACACTGTCCATCAGAGGGCAGATGCTCAACACAGGAGATAGCCTCTGGTGGTCTGTGCACTCCCACATGGTGAGGCTCACTCAGCCAGAAGCCCTGAGCTGGGCTTACGACTGGTGAGTGCAGAGGTGGTGGCAGGAGCCTCTCCCACCTCCGAGGCAGTGCTAACGATGTCTGATTGCTAGCTTAGGCCTGCTCCCCGCTAGGCCTCCTGGACAGCAAGAGGGCGCAGGCTGGACTGAGAGACCAACCCTCCTGCCCCCAAGTACAAGAATTTCGTGCACAGGGCTTCTAGTAAGTAAGTAAACACTGTGGTCTTGGCTTGGAATTGAAAGTATAGGTGTGAATTTAGGATATTTAGATATAGGTATTGTTAGTTAGGATTCTCCAAAGAAACAGAACCAAAAGGACAGGAGAGATAGAGAGACAGAGAAAGAGAGAGAGAGGGAAATTTTAATAAATTGGCTCATGTGATTCTAGGGGCTGACAAATCAGAAATCTGTAAGGTAGGCCAGCAGGCTAAAGACTAATGAAAGAGTTGATGGTTACCGCTCAAATTTGCTGACAGCAACCCCTCTTCCTCTGGGGAACTAAGTCTCTCTCTGAAGGCTTTAAACCGATTGATTGAGGCCCCCCACTCCCACCCCATTATGGAAGGTAATCTGCTTTAGTCAGTCTACTCATTTAAATGTTTATTTCATATTAAAACAAACAAACAAACAAACAAACAAACAAAAAAACCTTCACAGCCACATTTAGATTTAACCAAATTTCTGGATACTAGAAAAACCAGGCTCAACCCCTTATCTCCTCCCAGAGGCTGCCAACTAATTGTAAGGGAGGCCAGAGCTGGGTAAAGCCAGGAGCTTTTATGGGTAGGAGTAAGCTGGATAGGGATTTTTTGTTTGTTTTTGTTTCTGCTTGTGCTTTCTTTCCATCTTCATTTCCTTTATAAATTTATTTGTTGTTGTTGTCTAAAAGTTATAAAAAAAATTAAAAAAAAAAAAAAAAAAAAAAAAAAAAAAGGAAAAAAAGCCAGAGCACATTCCTGAGAATTTTTTGAAGAGTTAAGGGACAGGAGACTGGCCACCTGATTTGAAGAGGTGGGAAGGAAAATAGAACTGTTTTCCATTCATCTTGTCTTGAGTCCAGATGGTTGCATAAACACCAGTACAGCATCAGAAACATTCCTGGAGAGGAAGCGAAATGAAGCCAATGTGTCTGGGCCTTACAGTTACTTTATGAAATGTCAGAAGTAAAACTCTTTGTTCTGAAGAACTGTGACCCTCTCTGTCCTGAAGTCCACAGAGGCCGGGCACAGCCGAAAGGCAGGCTGGCTGAGCTGAGCAGTAGCTCCTGGTGGGATTTTAAATGCGCTCCCCGGGGTGGTGTGTGCTGCGTTTTGAAAATGACTCGGCCAGCCTGTCGGAACACCGCGGAGGAAGGCTGATGGGCAGGAGAGAGGTGTTAAGGTTTTCCAGAGCAGGTAACATCTGGGTTGGAATGATAAACAATAACAAAATGCTAAGGTATAAAACTTATTGGGAGCTGAGTGTGTTATAGACACTGTTCATTACCTTTTAAAATTCTTAATGATTCAGGTACTATTAATATTACAAATGATAACACCGAGATAAAGAGAGTCTGAGAAACTTGTTCAGGGTCACAAAGCTGCTAAGTGACTGCAGAGCTGGTCTGCAGACTCAGGCTAGCCTACTCTAATGTATTTCTGTTTGATTGACAAGTAGAAATTGTTGAGTGGGTTAAGACCTCCAAGAGCAAGGGCATGGAGACCTGGCAGCATGGTGTGCATGAGAACTTGCATGCTGAGTATCGGTACTGGTAAAACGCCCAGTTTGGATGGGAGAGAGGGAAGAGAAGACTCACATGAGTTAGTGGCCCGGTAAGCTGGCAGCAGATCGTGCAATGGGAGTTGGATTTTAGCCTGTTGGAGATGGGGAATTGCAATTTAGAAATATCATTTTGATCACAGTGTGGAGATTGGTTGGAGAGCACAAAAGGGGAGGGAGGGAGGCACGTTAACAGGCTATTACAATAGCCCAGGCAAGCAAGGGAGTGGGACAGAGAAGGAGAGGGCAGGCTTAGGAGACATTTAGGAGTGGACTGAATAGATTTGGTAAAATGGTGAGGGAGCAGAAGGGCTTAAAATGACAGAAAATAAGTTTCAGGTTTGTGCTGCTGTTAGTGGGGGAGACAGAATGGGAGACTGTGAAGATGGAGAACTGTGGAATTTGAGATGCCTTTGTAACACCCAGGGCATATGGGGGTAATGTGTTGTGGCCTCTGCAGAGTATTTTATTTGTAGGCTTAGCTACGAATAGATGGGAAGAATAGATTACAAAATCAATGCTGTTCTTTAAAAGTCACCAATTTAGTCCTGGACAGTGTTTCTCAGTAATTAGAGCGTCAGCCCACACACAGAAGGGTTGCAGGTTCAATTTTTGGGATGCAGATTAGCTCCTTACCCAGAGTTGGGGTGAGTGTGGGAGGTGGCCAGTTGTGTGTGTGTGTCTCTCACATCCATGTTTCTGTCTCTCCCTCCTCCCCTCCCTTCTACTCTCTCTGAAAAGCAATGGAAAAAATATCCTCAGGTGGAGATTAAAAAAAAAATCGCCTAATTAAAAAAGCTGTTATTACCATATAGGTTATTGTTTTTACTTTTTTTTTTTTAAATGTCTACTGCATATTTATATACTGATTTTTTTTTATTTTTATTAGTGGCTGTATAGACTATGTCAGTGTTTTGTTCCTGGCAGGACTCTTAATTCCACCTCAAAATATTCTTCTTATCAGTCTACTGGTATTCATAATATAGAGCAATTTATTTATTTATTTGTTTCAATCCTCACCCAATGACATGTTCTTATTGTTTTCAGGGAGAGGGAAGGAAGGAGGAAGGAAAGAAGAGAGAGAGGGAAGAAGGAAGAGAGATATGTGAGAGAGAAAAATCAATTACTTGCCTTCCATACATACCTGACTGGGGATTGAACCCACAACCTGGGTATGTGCCCTGACCAGAATAATACTCTGCTATAGGCCACGATACTTCAGCATATCAATCAATATAAATATTGTTACTAAAAATTGTGTAAACATTACAAAAATAAAATAACTTACAAGGAAGTAACTTAAATAAAACATAAAATAGTTTCTGGTGGTAGATGTCTGATTTTTAATTTCTGCTTATTCCCCTTTCTCCCTGCAGCAATTCTTTGAAGCAGAAGAAGAGTATCATCCTTCTATGCAAGACTTAACTACTGACAAAGTAAATATTTTGGCACTAAAACTGAAGGACCAGGAAGAAGTGATTAAGAAATTAAAAAAACAATTGCAAGATTATGAAGTAAGTTTCAAAGCAAAAAATAATTAATTTAAATATATGTAAGTAAAGTTATAACTTTCTAAAAGCTAGGCTTAACAATCAAGGAAAGACAGGTAATGTATCTTGGGCATCTCTCCACAACATAAGCCAGTCCAACCCTTTTCTGCTCAATGACACATTCTAGAAAACCCATAATAGTTATAAATAAGAGCAATAAGATTGTTCTCGATTTTTAAAATAATGGTAATAAAATAGATTGTCTCCCACTGCAGAAAAACAAAACACAAAAACAAAAACAAAAAAAACTATCTCCCAAGTCAGAGGCTTCCAGGAAGCCAGCTAGGAACGGGATGACCTTAGGGAGAAAGGTCGAGAACAAACTTCTCCGAGGGTTTCCCCCCAGTTCTTTCTGTCCAAGTGGGAACCAAGAGCTGCTTTACTGCTCAAAAGACTGATGGGAACAAACAGGAAAGAGAGAGCGAGCAGAAAAAGATAGACTATTTTCCTGTCAAGGAGAAGACATTTAAGGGCTGTGGAAAAGTGTGGACCCTGAAGATGAATTCATTTTCATCTCAAGTCAGCTCTGAGCCACTGGGTTATCCTGGCTCAACCACAGTCCAGGCCATAGAGAGGTTTTATTCTTACGTCTAAGAGCAAGAAGCTGATCAGATGGGTAGGAGAGGCTTGCAGGGAGGCTGGAGGAATCACAATCTATTTATTTATTTATTTATTTGTTTGTTTGTTTGTTTGTTTATTTATTTTTGGAATAACAATCTCTTGATTATCAACTAGCAGATGCTAGATGCCTCATTCATGGTACCTCTTTTTTTTTTTTTTCCCAATTGAATTTGTTGGGATGAATTGATTCACAAAATCATACAAGGCTTCAAGTGTACAACTCAACAAAGCATCATGTGCACAGGGAATCATGTGCCCATGGCCCCAAGCAAACTCTTTTTCTGTCCCAATTCCCATCCCCCTTTTCACACCTCCACCTGCCGAGCCTCCTTCCCCACTGGCTATCACCACACTGTTGTCTGTGTCTATGTGTTATATTTTGCTTAATCCTTTCTCCTTTCATCCAGTTCCCCAAACCCCTTCCCCTCTGATAGCTGTCACTCTGTTCCATGTGTCCTCGCTTCTGTTTCTATTTTGTTCATTATTTTATTTTGTTTATTATGTCTTTCTCTGACTGGCTTATTTCACTTAGCATAATAATCTCCAGGTGTATCCATGCTGTCACAAAAGGTAAGATTTTTTTTTTTTTTTTTTTTTTTTTTTTTACAGCTCAGTAGTATTTTATTGAATAAATGTACCACAGTTTTCCTATCCACTCATCTATTGATAGGCACTTGGGCTGTTGCCATATCTTGGCTATCCTATATAATAAAAAGCTAATATGCAAATTGTCCCCTTGACTGATAGGGGTGGGCTGGCTGGACCCCACCCATGCACAAATTCATGCACCAGGCCTCTAGTTATACTAAATAATGCTGCTAAGAACATAGGGGGAGATATATTCTTTTAAATTAATATTTTGGGTTACTTTGGGTATTTTTCAGAAGTGGGATCACTGGATCAAAAGGCAATTCCATTTTTAGATTTTTGAGCTAACACCATACTGTTTTCCTCAGTGGCTGCACCAGTCTGCATTCCCACTAATAATGTACAAGGGTTCCCTTTTCTTCACATCATTGCAGCACTTGTTTGTTGATTTATTGATAGGCATTATGACAGGTGTGAGGAGATGTCTTACTGTATTGTGGTTTCAATTTGCTTCTCTCTGATGATAGTGATGTTGAGCACTTTTTTTCATATGTCTCTTGGCCATCTGTATGTCCTCTTTAGAGAAGTGTCTATTCAGGTCCCTTGCTCATTTTTTAATTGGGTTGTTTGTCCACTTGGTGTTGAGTTGTATAGTTTATTATACATTTTGGAAATTAACTGCCTTATTGATCTGCCATTAGTAAATATGGTCTCCCATTTAGTGGGATTCCTTTTCATTTTGTTGATTGTTTCTTCTGCTATACAAAAGCTTTTTAGCTTGATATAGTACTGTTGTTTATTTTTTCTTTTGTTTTTCTTGCCTAAGGAAATATATCTGCAAAAATATTGCTACTAGAAATTTCTGAGATTTTACTGCCTCTGGCTTCTTCTAGATTTTTATGGTTTTGTGACTTACATTTCACTCTTTAGTCCAATTTGAGTTTATTCTTATGTATGTTATAAGTTGGTGGTCTAGTTTCATTTTTTTTTTTTTGCATGTATTTGTCTGATTTTTCCAATACCATTTATTGAAGAGACTGAGATTCCACCAAGAATTACTAAACCTAATAAATGAATTTGGCAAAGTAGTAAGATATAAAGTTAATATTCAGAAATTGGGAGGAGTAAGCTGGGAGAGATCAATAGCAGAAAAGGAGATATATGTAATACTTTCAACAATAAAGAATTAAAAAAAAATCAGTGGCATTTTTATACATCAATAATAAACTATTACAGAGAGAAATTAAGAAAACAATCTCATTTACTATTGCAACAACAACAACAAAAATGGTACCTCCGAATAAATTTAGCCAAGGAGGTAAAAGATCTGTACTTGGAAAATTATAAGATACTGAAGAAAGAAATTGAGAAAGATACAAATAAGTTGAAGCATATACCATATTCATGGATAGGAAAAATTAACACCATTAAAATTTCCAGACTATCTAACAAAATCTACAAATTTAACACAATTGCTATTAAAATACCAATGGCACAGCTCACAGATCTAGAACAAATATTTCAAAAATTTATACAGAACAGCAAAAACCCCCAAATTGCCTCAGTAGTCTTGAGAAAGAAAAACAAAGTTGGAGGTATCACACTACCTGATAATCAAACTATACTACAAAGCCATAGTACTCAAAACAACATGGTACTGGCATAACAACAGACATATAGATCAATGGAACAGAATATAGAACAGAGGAATAAACCCATGCTTTTTTGGTCAATTAATATTTGACAAGGGAGGCAGGAACATGGAGTGGGGTAAACTGGTATCTCTTCTTATCTCACAGATCAGTTTACAAATGAAGCAGAGGCAGGTGGTTAAGTAACTTCCCACTAGACATACAGATAGTAAATGGTAAGGATGGCGTATGAGCCTGAGGTCCAGCTGAATACTCAGCCTACAGAAGGAATTGGAGCTCTGTGCTCTACAGTAAGGATTAAAGGTTGTTTTATATATACATATATCTCTCTATATAAAAGCCTATACAAATTGTCCCTTCGGGAGTTCGACTGGGAGACCGATCCCTCACTATGACATCTGCTGACCACCACGGAATGAAGGAAGGCCCCAGCCGGCACCTGAAAAGACCCAAACAGCCCTGACCTGCCAGGCCTAGGGACCCTACCCATGCACAAATTTCATGCACGGGGCCTCTAGTATAAACACATACTAGTGTGATTATATTATTACTAGAGGCTTGGTGCAAGAATTTGTGCACAGGTGGGGTCTGGCCATCCAGCCCCACTCTGGGTCGATCAGATCAGGCTGGCCCAAAGGAGGAGATGCAGGAGGTTGGCTGGCCAGCCCCACCCCCGATCAGGGTGGGGGGACCAATCGAGGGCAGGGCCAGCTGGTGGGAGGAGCCACAGGCAGTTGGCAAGTTGGCCCTGCCCCCTGGTCGAACTCCCAGTCAAGGGGACAATTTGCATATTAGCCTTTTATTATATAGGATAATGTATATTTTTATTATAATGTATATTATTATAATTAATATGTCACATGTGTATATACATGTAAATATTAACACAATGATAAAAATATGAGAAGTTACAAATAAAATCACTAGGGAGAAACACTTATGAGCTGGTGGTCCCTTTAGGTATAATCTTAAATTCCACACTTAAAACTTTGAAGTTAGAAGAGACAAGGAATTGAACATGTATCCTTCTAAAGGACTTTCCTTACTAACTGGCTCAGGTTGATGAAGAAATGTTTGCTTTATTTAATCTATTAGAGTTAATGCTCTAAAACGAAAATAAAAATGAAAGTCTTCTAGGTAACGCAGTGTTGTTAATTAACACAGATCAAATAAAATTGAATATTAAGTCTTTTTACATGTTCTGATGGCCTTGCAGGTGAAGGAAGATCCAGTTTTTGCATTTACTTTTCTGAACCTTTTAATGGGTTTATATTACCCCTATTTTTTAGGTAAAATTATTCAATATAAAAGGCTAAAAAAAAAATGTTTGGGTTTTGGCTTTTAGTTTTGCCTTGGCCAAAGAAATGCAGCATCAATTAGCAAGGCCATTTTGTTTCATTTATTTTCCACTTGTGAACTGGAAAGTGATACCTGCCTGGCTAAGAGACAGTTATGAGAAGGTTGTAATAATTAATATCCTGTTGTACTGGATATGAATTGCTTTGAGTTCTTTGAACAAAGATAAGCCCATGAATTCTAGTTATCATTATTAGGAAGCTCTAAGTTTGTATGTCCTTTTGTTTGACCTTTCTTGAAATGCACTGAACAGGCTTCTGGACTGTTGATAAGGTCCCAACTTGCTAATTGAACTCATTCCACTAAAACATGAGGTCTAACTGGGAGTGTTTGCATCTCTGAGTGTTGTCAGCTGGTTGCCTGGTGTGTCTGGATGTCCTGGACAAGGATGGACAAGGATGGAGGTGGCTTTGTGAGCGCAGGAGGTGGGAGTTTCCACCCTGCTGCCCTATAAGCAGGGTGTTCTTTGGCTCAGGTTGGCATCCCCAGGACCTGGCTAATCTTCTGCAGTTTTCCCTCAAGGAGGCCACATCCATTTTCAGGTAAACAGCCTAAGATTTGAGGAAGATGAGATAAATCTGATTAACGGGGTCCATACATTTCTCCCAGCTTCACCAGGACTAGTGTGCATTTCAAGAACACAGAATAAATGCCATTAAAAAATCACATACTATGGAACATAACTCTCTGGAAAAATACTTTTCAAGTAATCCTCTAAAAACTACATTTCCTAAAACTCCACGCCACTTAAATTCTGGATGATACATCTTTTTATTTAAAATTTCATCTTATACACCTGCTCCCTCTAGTGGTATAAAAAAGTTTGAGTTGCCAAGGATCTGAAAATAGATTTGGAAAACAGAATTAAGAGAAACAATTAGAAAGTTCCAAAGTGGCAATGGAAATATCTTGGGGGGCGGGGGGGACGACTTGAAACAAAGAAATTGAATAAACAGTGGGAAAACATTCTAATTAATTCTTACTGATAGTCAAATCACATAGATAGCTTGCTTTACAGTTAATAAGTAGTCCTAATCTCTCTCCAGGGATGTTTTTGAGAGACATCTATCCAAAAATGTAGTATTAGGACCTTAGAAGAGTGAAAAATGAAAGTTTAATAAACAGTTTTACATATATATATATATATATATATATATATATATATATATATATATATATATAATGAAAATTAGAAAAGGAAGCTCTTCAAGTTACAGAAGCCTCTTTTCTCCAGGTCACACGTCCTTAATGTTGAATTTTCCTGAGAACAACTTCACTCAAGAACTGAGCTTCTTTTCAGGTTTAGTTCTGTAGGAAACCATTGTGACAACTGCATGCCTTTGGTGTTACCAGGTTGCCAAGCTGTACATTGATAAATCCCCTTGAAAACTACAGCAGGCCAGTTTGTCAAAGTATTTGTGCAGGTGCATGGATATGTGTGCATGCGCACATATGTTTTAAAAAATATATTTTTATTAAAAACTGTGGTACATTAACACAATGGAATACTATGCTGCTGTAAAAAAAAAAAAAAAAAGAATGAACTCCTACCATTTGCAACAGCATGAATGGAGCTAGAGAGCATTATGCTAAGTGAAATAAGCCAATCAAAGAAAGATAAATACCACACGATCTCATTCATTTGTGGATTATTCATTTGTGGATTATAATGAACAACATAAACTGATGAACAAAAACAGATCCAGAGACAGAAAAGCATCGATCAGATGCTCAAACCTCAGAGGGAAGGTAAGGGAGGGTGGGGGTAAGGAGGAGAGATCAACCAAAGGAATTATATGCATGCATATAAGCCTAACCAGTGGATGCAGACAACAGGGGAAGAGGGTGAGGCTGAGGGCAGGATTAGGGAGGGGGGGGGGGGCAATGGGAGGATATGGACACATATGTAATACCTTAATCAATAACAAAAATATTTTTTTATTGATTTCAGAGAGGAAGAGAGAGGTAGAGAGATAGAAACATCAATGATGAGAGAGAATGATTGATCGGCTGCACCTGCACACCCCCCACTAGGGATGGAACCCGCAACCCGGGCATATGGACTGACTGAGAATTTAACCCTGACTTCCTAGTTCATAGGTCGTTGCTCAACCACTGAGCCACCCCAGCCCAGCCACATATGTGTTTTAATTGCAATTGAGTTTCCTTTTTTTTCTCTTATTCTAACACATATGAGCTGTGCAACCACCACTCAGGCACCACCACCACCACCCTGACTCCCGTAGGTGAACATAACTGCTTGTTGCTGACAGTTCTGAAACAGCTGTCACTCAAGAGTGGCAGCTCAGCAGGGCCTCGCTGCCCCAGCATGCCACTTTCCGGCTGTCACTCACCGGGAAAGCACCTGCTTTGCTCTGTGGCTGTCATGCAGCCTGGGCGTGCATCAGAGCGTACTCCACCCCCAGCACAAATTGAGATGTCCAGGTAGTGTATATGGATCCTGCAGAATCGAGGCACCAACATGGCAAAAGGGAGATTGCTGCGAAGGTACAGGCGGTGCTCTAAACAGCGCTTCCCAGACTTCATTGTGCATATGGATCGCCTGCAGCAATTGTTAGCATACAGCTTCCAATAGTCGGGCTGGGCTGGGGCCTGAGATTCTGCATTTCCAATAAGCTCTCGGATAATGTTTCAGCTCCTGGTCCATGGACTACACTCTGAGTAGCAAGGCACTAGAGTATACCAGTTTTCAGAAACTATTCTTTCAGAAAATAGTTTGGAATTAAAAAACCTGGGAACAGTGAATCTGCACATCTTGCGACTGTTTACAAGCAAAATAGTGCATAAGCCACCACCAGAAGTCCTGCTTTTCACATGATAGGAACATTTTAAATTGGCGAGTTCCTGTATAAACTTAAAATTTCAGGATGGTCATGAGTCACAATTTCTCATCTATTACCATATGGCTTTAAATTAGCAACATCTAGTTAACCACCTTTTAATGATCTTCCTAACCCTGGTTTATTAATGGAGTATATTTTAAATAAGTCTCATGGTTTAAGAAACCAAAACTAGTGGTGTGGGCAGATGGTAGAAGGAACACCATCACAAAACCTGCCACTCAGTGTAACAGATGAGCGGTGCAGCCCAGAACTATCCCTTTGTTCATTTTGCTAATGAGTGTCCTCATTGCTGTGAGAGTCTGAATAGTTAATTACTTGCAGTTCCTACAGCTAACAGATGGTGGGGACAGAGCTAAAGGTGAACCTTCTAAGAACAGGAGCTGTGGATGGCCATGTGGAGAAAACAAGTCTGAGTTAAATGTGTTTCCTACTTTTAAACAAGATTTTTTAGAAAATGAATTTAGTTATTAGCTGCTACTAGTTACAAATTTTAGATGTCACCTGATTAATTCAAATAGTTCTTGTTTATTTAAAGGTAGCGGCACTCGTAATCCACTGTGGATGTTCATATTTTGTCACTGTATGCGTAAACCTAGCAAGGCAAATATTGTTTGTTATTTAAATGCCTTTTCAGTCAAATAAATAAATAATAAATAAGTAAATAAATGCCTTTTTAGCCTATAAATACATTCTGTAATCATTTCAAATTTAACCCTGTGGGACAAGACATTAATAACTGGATTTCTTAGCTAATAAAACATAGTAACTATTAGATATGTTAATTAAGAATTAATTGAGCTCAAATAATTTAAATGAAATGGTGACTCAAACTCATGAAAATTTGTAAGTGTGCTTAGGGAAAAAGTTAACATTATTTTAAATATTAACTCTGACCTAACTACTTTACTAAGTCGCTTGATTTTTAAGAAATTATTGTTATGCAAAACATTATATCCACTTATTCTTCTTTTAGGCCATTATGATCACAGAGGAAAATATTTTTTGAAACTATTTTAATAATTTACTTCCAGATATCTCTAAAGCCAAGTCAAAATACAATTGCAAAAGGAAAGCAGCACATTGGAAGGGATGATTTTGGTTTTGAGGGGAAACTTTATTCTTGTGTATCTGCAACCATGACATTGCTACGGAAAGATAGGTTAGGATTCATCTAAAGATTACTTTAAAGTTCAAAAGTCTTTCTAGTGTCTATCAATTTTGAAGCAAAGCATACAGGAACTTCTGTCTCTTTTAGCCTGATATAATGACCTTTAAGCATACTCTTTAACATTTTGAGATGGCACAATCAGTTTAATGTTTTACCACCGTGAAGCATAAAGTTCTGCACCAACTTCCCCAATCCATCCCATCTTAATTTTTAAAATAACGTGTGGCAGTAAAATGTAATAGACACAATCCACAGTGGATTACGAGTATGTTCAGATGTTTCCAGTAGCTTTGAAACAGACACGAAGAAGAAGAAAAGAAGAGTCGCTGTCCCAATAAGCTTCTATTGCGTAAGAAAAAGACTCTCCCACAATGGACGTGGCAAGATTTAAACAAAAGGCTCACATAATAAAAATGTAAATGAGTTTGCTTTGCTAAAACTATAACTTTAAAGTCTTTTGTTGTACATTATCCTGAAACCTTCTTACAAGGTAATCACTGTTTGCATAGAGATTTAAACCGAGGTCTACAATAGCATTAACCGCCTGCACAGCCCCAGTGTGACAGGCATGCAAAGCCACGTTAATGTTCAGAATATGAATTGCCTCTGGGTGGCTCCTCCACCAAGCAGAGAACCAACTGTGTGGATATCCGAGAGCCTGATGGACGCCATGCGGCTCCCAGCCTGAAAACGTCACCGCTTTGACATGTGATGTGCTCCTCATGACACTGGCGGCACTGACACTGGGAAACGCCACAAAGGCAGCGAGCCCCCTCCTCCTCGGTGCACGTTGCCACCCCCTGCCGCTGCCCGTCCACGGTCCCCCCAGCCTGCCTAGTTACAGGCAGACAGCACTTCAGACACACACAGGGGGAAATGTGGGTGAGGGGCCCCAGCTGCCTCCCCGGACATAGCCTCCGTAATGAATTGACCTGAATGATGAGGGCACACAAACAGTATGATATGCATTATTCCTGTCAATAAAATGTCCCCATGTGCCGTGGTCTTTGTACAGAATGTACTGCAGCCTTTCTTCCAGCAAGCTCTATTTAATCCCCTTCCTTTTTTGCTATTCATATTGTAAGTGTGTAATAGAATTCAGAAAATTATATGATAGCCCTTCTGTATCTGTCTTGTCTTGTGTTGCATATTTAAATTCTTGGCTCCCTGCTTAGAAATGTGGACTTGCCCATCTTTCAGGAAGCTTTGGTATTAGAGGCCGGCCCTGAAAAGGAATGTTTGGAGTCCAAAGTGGAAAATGAGAGGCTGCTTCAAGTCATTGCAGATCTCGAAGAAGCAGCCCAACTCAGTCAAAAAGAAAATGCATTATTAGGTAATATTTTAAAGTCATTTTGGAGGGAAATCTATATATTGGGCACTTTGTAAAATTCATAGCTATGTTTGTCTTTTCCAAACACACATTTGTCTGGTTGGTTACATTTTAAAGATAGCCATCTTCGATTTTCATTTAAAATGGCATTTCTTGCTTGGGACAGGGAATATACGTAAGTATTATAAGTATACTCCTGAGCCATATCATTTTAACTCAGGGGTTTTATAAGTTTTTCCTTTCAAGCCAAGCATTGACCTTGGGGGGGGGGGGGGAGTGCTAATCCATGCCCTATTTTACTTAGAAATATTATAAAACAAACTGTTGCCAATTTCTGTTTCTTAAGCTTAATTAGTTATGTAAAATTTATAACCTTTACCACTTGTAAATGCATATTGAGATATGGTTTGTGGAGAAACAGGGTTAGCCCTTGAGTAACATATGCTCTGACTTACTACTTAATTATCTTCAATTTTTGGTACAGATTTTAAGTACAAACATTCATTTGTATTCCCCTTTTTTACATACCGTAAACATTGGTAAGAGTTTCATTTTAATCTCCAAAGTTATATTGCCGTAACTATTTTTTTCACTTACTGTTATCTTTGTATTCATGTTCATTATGTAATGTTGCTCTTAATCTGCAGTATGAAGGGTAACAAGTAAGCAATCAGGAATTCACAAAATACTGACAACATCATTTCTCTTACACTGTCCCTTGAATATGCAGTTTGGCTTTTCTCCTGATGTGGTATAATGGTGCCCTTTCAGGGTTTGGTAGTTCTGACCGAGTCAGAAAGTGCCACCTGCTGAAGACCTTGTATGGGCTGTGCTTCACAGCAGAGTGTCCATTGCGAGTATTGATGCAAAGCTTTCAGCCCTTGGCCACACTTGGGTCTTGAACTTAGTTCTTAATCCCTATCTGACCAGCCTTCTTAACAGCAGGAAGAAGGCTGTGAATGTCAAGGGCAGTTGTGAAGGTCACAGTCCTGCTAGGACTTGCGCCCACTATGCCTGCCAGTGGTGCACAGCCTGCCTGGAAGCAGGAAGCTTGAATGCAGGGCATAAACTCGTAATTTCATGGTTGGTCTCTCTCCCCTTTTGTTTATAGAAGAAGAAGTTATGAATCTGAAAGAGATGGCAGAAAAGGATCGTAGCACCATTCAAAGGGTACTGTAACTTTTTCACATTGATGAATGACTCTTTTAAATTAAAATATCAGCCCAATTGGTGAAATAACGCTGTGCCCCGCTTGTCCTGTGATGCCAGGTCCACTTCTCATTATTTGGGTAAGGTCTTAGCGATGCATAAGGATTCTGTCTTGGAATTGAATTAATGTATAGGTACTTCTTTTATCTGAGATAACGAAGAGCCTCTCTTGTTGATTGTAAGGAATTGAAAACTTACATGACAGGGAGGGCAGAGGTGTGTCTGTGGAAAAACTTTAGAGTGAGCAGGCGTATTCTCAGGTCAGATGGTGGTTTATGTTCATTTTTCTGTACGAGAATTAACTGGGCTTATGTTACCCAGGAAATTTGCATTGGAACAGGGAACTTTTTGGTGTCACAAAGATCAAGATTTCCTAGTGCATTCAATGCAGCAGGACCCGGGTCAGGGGCTCTGCTCAGGGCTTTCTTAGCCCAATTACCGCCCCTACTGCAGCTCCCGAAACACCTTTCTGTGAGGTCCGTCCTCCCTGTGGTTCCATGGCCCCACGCGGGCAGAGACTGTGGGCGCTCATCGCTGGCACAGTCCCGGTGCTGAGCACAGCGCATGGCACACTTACAAATACTCCTGGGGCCATTCATTCATAGAGTGAGAATGTACTTAGAATCCATACAATTTACAGAATTTACAGGTGAAAAGCGGGTTTACCTCCCTGAATTATTCTAAATAAACATACCTGCTTTCTATGAACCAAATCAAGCATCAGTTTCTAATTAAAAATTAATTAAAATTAGATAAAGTTAAAACTCAGTTCTTCAATCACATTAACCCCATTTCCAGGGCTCATGGGCCTACATTTATTTATTTTAAAAAATATATATTTTATTGATTTTTTACAGAGAGGAAGAGAGAGGGATAGAGAGTTAGAAACATCGATGAGAGAGAAACATCGATCAGCTGCCTCCTGCACACCTCCTACTGGGGATGTGCCCCAAACAAAGGTACATGCCCTTGACCGGAATTGAACCCGGGACCTTTCCGTCCGCAGACCGACACTCTATCCACTGAGCCAAACCGGTGCCGGCACATGGGCCCCCATTTAGATTCAGATTTCAATCTGATTTTGTGGTTTATGGTATTCTTATGTTTTAGGTTCAATTACTTCAAAGAACTCTATTTTAAAGACCTGGCTGCCCTGACAGGTCAGATTTGGGAGTTGTTTTCTCTGATAACTGAATGTGTCAGGCCTTTTCACACAGTGCTTTCCTGTTCTTGTGCTTCACTGGTGAAATCCCCTTCTTACAGAGAGAGCAGACACAGACCACTCTAATCTTAGCATCAGGCTCGGAGAATAAAATCTCAGCTTGCCACTGTCCCCTAAGAACCTGCAAGGGAACCATCCCAGGTCATTTAAATGTTCCCCAAAGCTGTTCCGTCCGCCTGTCCCGTAGAGATAGGGACTGTACTAGAAGTCTGCATGTGGAGAAGGGATGCCTGGGAGGTTGTAGGAAGGGTTTGCAAACAGCTCCACAGCCATCTCACTCTCTTTTACTTGAGCTGGATTTTCCAGGAGGTAAGAGGGTAGAAGAACTGGGTACAGAGTGTGATTACATCACAGGTGAGAGGAGTTTGTGGGCCTGTCTGTGATTCGCCTGGGCTAGGTATGAGGTGGGAATCTGGTGAGAATTTGTGTTGGGGCAGGAAGAGGGGAAACTGGAGTGTGGGGGAGAGATACGCAGGGAATGGAAAAATGGGAAAAACTGGACAAGTCACATGACCCCTTTTTCATCACGGTTGCAGCTAAATGCAAGTTGAAAATGGATGTTGGGAGGCTGACCTCTTACCATCTGTCTGAGCAAAAAATGATCAATGATGTAGCTTCTCTGTTTTGGTTCCAATACTCTAATAACAGCTGGAGCTGTGTTCCAGCTATGGCCACAATAAGGACTGCATTCTGGGAGGGAGACAGACCAGCAGTCACGGCCCAGGGTGTGATCAGCTTCAGGAGGCAGGCGGCACAGAGTGCTGAGTGGGCACTCCCAGCCTGAGGAGGAAGGGCCAGGGAAGGTTGGGGGAAGGGCACTGACTCCTGAAAGAGAGGTTAGAATTCCAGGGGGAGAAGGGAGAGAAGCAGGCGGGGCAACAGAGACTGCAGCAGGAAAGCCTTATTGCAGGAATCTTCCTGCAAGGGGCCTTTAGTCTTTAAATAATGTCAATGGAAAGGAGAAGGAGGGTAAAAATACAATAAACAGGAGATCATTGATGAGGAGAGATCAAGGGGTTAGGCAGGATTGGGGTTAATGTCTTTGATGTTGGCTGGTAATTGATACCCACTGGAAACTTGATGGCTAAGTTATGAAGACTCAACACAATCTTTGCCTTCCATCCTTCTCCTTCTTTTATTTTCTCTAAATCTGCTGTCAACCCCCACATCTTCAACTGCACCTCTCACCTCCCTCCTGAGCCGCTCATCGAGCCAGTCCCCAGTGTTCTCCAGCTCTGTCTGGGGACCGCCCTGTGCTACTGGAGACAACCGGATCCTTGCCTTTGGGCGACATTACAAATAGATGAGGCTTTAATCCAGAGTAGCTGCACCCTTCCTCTGTCTGTCATTTCACATGGATCTGATTAGTACCCTTTCTTACTACCTACCTACTTCAGCTCTTGCAATTTTCACCACTTTTCTCAATTCCAGTTAAAAGAAAATCTGCCTCTTCTCCCCTTCCCCACTGCTATTTTTCCTGTTGATCAGGTCACAATGAGATCCTATTGCCTTTAATACTTTCCTATCTTTTTCTTCCTTAAATTTTCTACTGTATGTGATGGGACTATGCCTCACGTCACAGGTGTCTTCTGCAGTAATGCTGTTTGTTGGCTGTTTCCTCCACCTTCCTCCTCCTCCAGCTTGATGATTTCTGCATCTTCTTCAAGACCTTTGTCAGTGGTACTACTCCTGTGAAGTTACAACCTGGAATGACAGGCCTTGTTATAATTACAGTTGCTGTGTTGTGTGGATTTTTATGCTTTTAGACTACCTGAAGGTTGCTGTAACATTTGTCCTTATGTTCTAGAGGGGTTCACATCACTCTTCTACCATACTGGATGCTGCAGGAGAAGGGATCTGCTCTAGCTCATTTTCATACTTCCATAGCCAAATGAAATGTTAGGCATCTAAAGGGTGTTCCCTACATGTTTATTAAATTAGTGGATATATGAATTAATTGAATTGAATGGATATCAAAACCAGTGGTCAGCCTGCACAATGAAGGGTTTCAGGTTCAATCTCAGACTCGGTCCAGGCTCATGGGGGAGGCAACGAATTTATCTTTCACATTAATGTTTCTTGCTTTCTTGCTTTTTTGTTTTTAATATATTTTTATTGATTTCAGAGAGGAAGGGAGAGGGAGAGAGAGATAGGAGCATCAATGATGGGAGAGAATCATTGATTGGCTGCCTTTGCTTGCCCCACACTGGGGATCAAACCCACAATCCGGGCATGTGCTTGGATCCTTAATCAAACCGTGCCCTTCTGGTTCATAGGTTGGTACTCAACCACTGAGCCACACTGGCTGTTTTTAATTGGTATGAAATATGGCTATATATGTCTATAATCATAAAAGCACAATGTGGTAATTAGATCATACATGTGGTAATTAGATCATACATATATGATGATGTGTGATCATACATGTGGTAATTAGATCATACATCCTTCTGAATGTCCTTCCAGATGAAGCCAGGGCTTCGAGGGAAACTTGGGTTCCAGGTGCTGGCAGCCGGGGGAAGAAAGGTCTACTCTTGCATGAATTTTGTGCATTGGGCCTCTACTACACATATATATCACAAAAACTTAAAATAAGAAATGGGTTATAGAAAGAGTAAATGGCTTTTTGACTAATTAAGACTTGCTTTATTATGTATTGATATTACATTTTTGGAGATGAAGAAGGTTGTAACTAAACTGATATTTCCTCTGTATATTTTGCTTGCTTATATAATAGATATCTATACTAATAAAAGGGTAATATGCTAATTAGACTGGGCATCTTCCGGATAACCTTCTGGATGTTCTTCTGAACAAAGCCATGGTGGCAGGGTCAGGCAGAGGTCGTTAGGTTTGATCAGGTCTGTAAGAGGAACTGTTAGGGGGATCAGATAGCAAGGGAGAGCAGTTAGGGGTGATTAGGCAGGCCGGCAGAGGCAGTTAAGTACAATCAGGCAGGCAGGGGAGCAGTTAGGGGCATCAGCAGGCAGAGTGGTTAGGCAGACAGGCAGGTGAGTGGTTAGGCATCAGCAGTCCCAGATTGCATGAGGGATGTCCGACTGACAGTTTAGGCCCAATCCCACAATGATAAGGCCTAAACTGGCAGTTGGACATCCCTGAGTTATACAGGATTGGAGAGAGTGCAGGCCTCCACTGAGGGACTCCCACCTTCCCCAGTGCAGATTTTTGTGCACGGGGCTTCTAGTAATAATTATATGGTAATATGTTATTAGTACATGGTAATCTATAGACATTTAATTTTTTATTGAACTTATAGGGGTTATATTGGTTAATAAAATTATATTAACCAATCTAAATAAAAGTATATAGATTTCAGGTGTACAATTCTATAATACATCATATATATTATGTAGTATGTTCACCACACCAAGTTATATCTCTTCCCATCACCATTTATCCCCCCTTTTACCCTCTTCTGCCTCTCCCACCCCCATTTCCGTCTGGTCATCACCATACTGTTATCTGTCTATGAGGTTGTATTTTTTTTTTTTTCTTAATTCCTTCACCTTTCTCACCCAGGCCTCCTATGCTCTTCTCTCCGACATCTATGAATATGTTTCTATTTTGTTTGTTAGTTTATTTTGTTCATTAGATTCCACATATAAGTGAAATCATATGGTGTTTGTCTTTCTCTGATTGACTTATTTCACTTAGCATTAGACATTTAATTTTTTTCTTTAATTATATTAGGGTCTGTTTTTCTCATATTCAGAAACAAAATATATTTCACTAAATTCTTTTGAGGATTAAATTCAGGTGTTCTGTTTTATAATAAAAATGTAATGTTCTCTTTCAGTTAACTGAGGGTAGAGATAAATTAAAGGCTGACCTTGATGCTGAAAAAGTGTTAGTTCAAGAAATGGTAAGGTGATTTATATTATTTCCTAATAAATTTGAATTCAGGAATTTTATTTAATCATGAAAGTTTTATAAACTGTCTTTGTACCTGTTTATTGTGAACTATTCATTTTCCCTTTATCAATAATTTAAGTGCATGCATAATTATAAACATTTTAAAATGATCATTAGAGTAGTATTATAACAAATACACTTATTATGTAGAAGAGTTTTACATAAGAAATAGTATTATAATTTAAAGTAGGGTATGAAATTTTTGAATTTTATTATGGAGAGCTCAGTGTTTTTAAGAATTTTCTATTTTTAGTTACAAATTGCCCTAAGTGACAACAACAACAAAAGAGAACTCAGCTAGATATTTTGGCATTCTGTGTTAGTTCCATAAGAAAACACTGCCTTTTTATGTTCTTTTAAGAGAACTTTCCAGACGGCTGGTCTTTTATTTTATCAGTTGACTACCCACCCCCAGGTCCCCCCATTCTACCCCCCGCCCAGCTTATGGGGTTGTATTTTGGCTTTCAACGGATCACCACTAGTATGTCTTTGTTATAGTAAACTGACTGTGTTTATTATAATCAAAAATAAAACACAGCTTGACTTGCGTTCTAAATGTGCCTGAAAAGAATATGATACTGTTTAGAAGAGAAAAGGTTGTTCATAGGAAATCCACACCACTTCAGATATTGAAACATTCCCCTTTTTACAGCTTGTCACACTTTGTGCCAAGTCATGACTGTTTTCCTAACTCCGTTTTGTTACTCTCGGCACCATGTGTTTTGGGTTCCTTGTCATAGAAATTAATGCAAAACAATGCTCCCGGACTACAATAAAGCCTTCTATGAAACCAACTTGTGAATGCAGGCAAGGAAAAAAAAAAAAAATGATGGTTAGCTAGTCACAGAAACCATGTGTTAACAAATATGTTATCCTGAACTCTTTACCTTTAAATACCTGCGTATAAAAAGTGGCTTAGTTATTTGCGTATACCAGTACTTGGTGAATCTCTTCTTGCCCCACCCCACCCTCTTCTTTCCAAAGTCCAGGAGTTGCTTCTGAAAACAACTAAACGTGCATGTTGCCATTGAAACGGAAAGTGCCATTGTAGAGTGGGAAGCAGAGGTTATAGTGCCCGTTTGTTAGCAACGTTAGACAAGAAATTAAACTGCTCAATCAGGAAGTTTATGTTTATATTAAGAACAGACCCCATCGTTTTTGAATCACTTTTCCTCTTTATTTGAACTGTATGCCGTTAACCGGTGCTATTCTGCTGCCCACGGGGGAACCAATCACCTTTTATTTCGTTGTTTAGAAGTTTGTTGAGCACCCGCTTGTTGCCAAGCAGCAAGATTTTTTTTTTTTTTTTTTTTTTTATCACAAACCCCACAACTGCACAAGAGCCTCAGTCCCTCAGAACTGGTTTGAGGATCCATGTCTGCAGGGAAGCAGGGAGCTTGCAGTTCTGGTGACCAAGCTTTCCCTGGCACACCGCTGGGCCCAGCAAGGCCACTGTTCCGGCACCCTCACCCCCTCCAGGCGTTCTGTTATTCCCTGGGAGTGAGGCTGGCTCTGTGGCTCCTTGGGCTTCCTTTGTTTCTTGCCAGAGTGCTTCTTTTCCAGAAATGAAGATTTGTGATTGCGCCCAGGTGGAAGAGAGGGAGAAGGTAGAGGGACCAGAGTCAATTTGTAAAACTTAGAAAACCTTCTCACTGAAGGGTTTGGTTCCATGCGTTGCCTGTACAGTTTATTTTCTGGCCTATTAAAAAACCCCATTTAAAAAGTCATAGAGCTGGTAGTGAAAAGGCCTGATCAGTAAGTCTAAGCAATAAAATATGGAGTGATAGTATCCTTAGATTGGCTTTAAGGAAAGCATATGAAAAAATGTTATATTTTTCCTGTAATGCCTACACTTAGTGGCATTCTTTCACTTTTATTTTTAGACGTAATTGTCCTGTAACATTGCAGTTTGGGTGTACAACAAATGATTCAATACATGTATATATTGCAAAATATTACCAGGATGAGTTTAGTTAACATCTATCGCCACACAGTTATAAACTTCATTTCATGATGAGAACTTTTAAGATTTATTCTCTTAGCAGCTTTAAATATATAATGCACTGTCGTTAACTGTAATCACCATGCTGTACATCACACCCCCAGCACTGAAGCGCTGAAGTTGTTTCATAACTGATGTTTGTCCCTGTTGGCCGCCCTCACCATTTCGCCTCTCCATTCCTTGCCTCTGGCAACCAGCAATCTGCTCCTTGTATCGATGAGGTCTTTTCTTTTTCTTTAAAAATATATATTTATTGACTTCAGAGAGGAAGGGAAAGGGAGAGAAAGAAATCAATGGTGAGAGGAAATCATTGATTGGCTGTCTCCTGCAAGCCCCCCACCGGACATCAAGCCTGATCCCGGGCATGTGCCCTGAAGGGTAATTGAACTGTGACCTCCTGGTTCATAGGCAGACACTCAACCACTGTGCCACGCTTGCTGGGCTATGGAGTATGGGCTTTCTTTTGTTTTTTTAAACATTTTACTATAAATAAGATGATATGCATGGGGTTTTTTTTCTACCTGACTTACTTCACTTGGCATACTGCCCTTAAATTTCATCCATGTTGTCACAAATAGCAAGATTTCATTCCTTTATATGGCTGAGTAATATTCCATTGCATATGTATATACCATCTCATCTTTATCCATTTGTCTATTGATGCTCCAACCAACTGAGCCACCCGGCCAGGCAATATGAATGTGATTTTATATAATAACTTAGTAATTAGTAACTTATTACTTATATCTTGGCTGTTGTAACTAATGCTGCAGTGAACATGGTAGTGCACATATCTTTTCAAGTGAGTGCTTTTTTATTTCTTTAGATAAATACCCAGAGATGGAATTGCTGGGTCACATTGCAGTTCTATTTTTAACTTTTTGAGGAATCTCCGTAGTGTGTCCAGTAGTGACGGCACCAATTTACATTCCCACCAACAGTGTGCAACAGTTCCCTTTTCTTCACATCCATGTCAACAGTTGTTATCACTTGTTCCTTCCTGGTGATAGCCATTCTAACAAGTGTGGTTCGGTGCACATTTCCCTGGGGATGTGTGATGTTGAGAACCGTTGGCCATTTGAATATCTTCTGGGAAAATGTCAGATCATCTGCCTATTTTTAATTGGACTGATAGTTGTTTTTTTTGCTATTGAGCTGTTGTTTGTTGATTGTTTTTGTTTTTTGCTGTTGAGCTGTGTATTTTGGTTATTAACTCCTTATGAAATATATAATTTCCAAGTATTTTCTCCTAGTCTATAGGTGCTTTTTCATTCTGTTGCAGAAGCTTTTTAGTTTGATATAGTCCTACTTGTTTATTTTTGCTTTTGTTGTGTTTTGAGCATTATATTAAAAAAATATATTACTAGCACCCATGTCAAAAAGATTTTTCTTAATGTCTTCTTCTAGGAGTTTTATGGTTTCAGGTGTTACATTTAAGTCTTTAATTCATTCAATTTAATTTTTTGTGTGGTATAAAGCAGGGGTTTAGTTTCATTCTTTTAAAATTAAAATCACATTCATATGGCCTGGCCAGGTGGCTCAGTGGGTTGGAATGTCATCCACTACACCTACAGGTTGCAGGCTCAATTCCTGGTCAGGGCACATACCTAGGTTTCAGGTTTGACTCCTGGTCATGGTGCACGTGGGAGGCAACTGATCCATGTTTCTCTCTCACATGAACATTTCTCCCCCCCATCCCCCTCTCTCTCTAAAATCAATAAACATATCCTCAGGTGAGGATTAAAAAGAAGAATAATTAAAATAAATAAAATTACATTCATTACATTATTGAAGTTTGACTACTAAATTATCTGAATTTTCTCAAAAAAATCTTATAAGGCTTGAGATCTATAGCTAGTTTAATAACATATGAAACAAATTATGACCACACCAGCAAACAGTGCATGCTTCTATATAATCTCTGTTATGCTTAAAGCCATAGATAAATGCTAATGATTATAAATATTTACAATTTTATCTATTTCTGTTCACTTTTTAAAATGTTTTTCTTTCTAGGTACAACTTTATTTTCTCTTCTAATTCATATTCAACATTTTAACTTTATTTTCCCATAATAGTTTTGGCAGTCAAATGGTTTATGATGCTACTCTTTCATTGCTAAAGGTAGTTTTATAGAAAATTCTCCGTTTTAATCTTTGCAAACAATAACAAATGACATGGGCCTTTAATTTCACAGGTTAGTAAACATAAAGAAGAAAAGGAAATGAGAAGGCTTGACATAAGTGGCAAGGTTTGCATTTAAGTCCTTTCCCCCACTCCCACCCCCTCTTTTATTCTGTGCTTCTCTTGTTTTGGCATCTTGAGTTTGAAGGAGAAGATGCTTATCAGTGAGGCAAGAAGTGTGAATGGGAGTCCTGGAGACTGACGTGGAGAGAGGTGAGAAGGGAAGATTGAGTGTGAGCCTTGGAGAAAGCAAGCCTGGCGTAAGGAGAGTGCAAGGTGTCGTCCTGGCATACTGATGCGCAGTCTCAATGCCTTGTCTCCTCATCCCTGTCCCTTCACTCCTACCTTCTATTCCCCTGCCTTCCTACTACGTACAATCCTCCAGCTGTACCATGCCCCACTCCTTTTCCAGGTGCCTTCAGAAGGCTTTGACCTGAAGGTATGTTTTTCTTCGTGCAACAGCATCAATGGGGGGGGGGGGGGGGGGGGGGAGTCCAACTTGCAAATTAAATTAGGCCTGAGCAGGGGTTGTGCAAGAACAGGTCCAGGTCCTCAGGGACTGAACACTTGAGCTCTGCTATCTCAGCTCAGGGCGAGGGAGGGAAGTAAAGGGACATGATTCTGAAGAAGGAAGTGAGAATAACAAAGTTGGTTCTTTCTGTATGCCAGACCTCGAGGTCAGCGAAGGGGAAAGAGTCGCCATGGACCCCACAACACAGGAGGGAGCAATCTTCCCTCTCCTCCATTGGGTCTAAGCCAAGAAAAGGGAAGACAAGGAGGTCTTTAAAGCAAAAGCACGCTGAGGTAAGCACCGCTCAAATGGCCACACTCTGTGACACCTTCATCTGCACAGGGGCTCCTGTGTTGTTAGCAATATCGAAACCACAATCATACCTCACAACCCTGCACCAACAAGGTTGCTGGTCTCATTGATTCTCCTGACTCCCTGCGCACAACTGGACAGGGGCTCTGGCACTTTTCTCAGCACCAGTATGTCTTTGTTAGGTCCCTTAACTTACCCAAGAAGATGCCACCGCTGCCCCCAGCTCAATGGTTTATATAGCTTAGTCCGTAAGCCTTGGTAGATCTCTATTAAGTTAGCAAGATAGAGAATCCATATTCCAAGTACTTTCTAGGCTGTATAATCGCTAACTCATTACTGCCCAATAGCTATCAGTAGCTTTACCGAAGCTTCCCTACAGGACACGCAAGTCTACAGAGCATTTGCTGGTAGTATTCTCAGTAGACACCTGGACTAACTCACACTATCAGAAGCGTGCACGCAGGGATTATCTGCTTTTGCTGTCTGTTTCCGCAGCCTCCTTCCCCAATGATCAGAATCATTTTGCTGGATCTGCAGCAGCACAATTCATCTACATAAAGGGCATGTCCAGAAGTAGCTCTGTGATGTTCAGTTCGACGTTGGCTTGTTATGTGAACATTGCTGAGGCACTTGCTCATGGCATTACACAATGCCTCCCTTTGTGTGGTCTCCTGGGGAACTTTCTTCTGCCCTTCGTTATGGGGCTGGTTGTATTTCTCCGAGCGATTGGTCTTTTCCTATGTGCACTGTGAATTGTGTAACTAGTCAAGGCTCAGGAAACTTAGAAGTCACTTGGTGAGTCACCTAGCCAGCGCATAGCGCTTCATGAAGAGTCTCTCCCCGTGTTCTCCCTCCTCCTCCCACAGGGCTGCTTCCCCGGCACTCAAGGCCCGGAGGCACAGAGCAGAACCCTGCTCCTGCGTCATCCTTGCTCCACTGGGCACAGAAAGATCTGGGCATCTCATGCCAACTCCCAGGCAGATGGCTTCCTGCTTGTGGCCAGCAGAGGAGTGAGACAACAGGTAGAGAGAGACGAGGGGTTGAGAAAAAGCATTGTCTTTTAAAAATATTTTCACTTTGCAGAAAGTTAGGAAATCTAGTCAGCTGGAAAACAATGTAATTTCTCAAGGAGGAGAATGACATTTGGGGGGAAATTTGACACATGACTGGCCAGTGTTTGGGTTCCAGAAGTAAGATTTTTAGAATCCAGGTCTTGGGAAGCTTTTGATTTTTGAGTCACAAAAGAGCAACAAAACAAAGACACAAACAAGAAAGAACGCTGCCTGAGTAGGAGATGCTGCCTGCTGACTGGGCAGGAAGACCAGCCATCCTGGGTGAGGGGCTCAAGTCCACGCCTTGGACTTAGTCAGCCTGTGGTCAAGCCAGTATCGCGTTCCAGAAGGCTCTGCCAGCTGCCAGAAATCAGGCTGAAGGGCCGGCTCTGTGCGTCAAGGCACTGAGATGAATGCGGACAGGGCTGCCCAGCAGAGTTAGCAGCTGGACAGAGTGACGGGTCCGGAGCCAGGGATGACAGCAGCAGGGGGAGCTGCTCCCATTCCCACAGCAAGCCCAGGCTGTCAGTCAGCCCCAGAATTCCAGCTTAGAAACTCCTCACTTTACAGATCAAAATTGAGCTTCCAAAATCGCAGCCACAAGGGACAGGCATGCTGTCCTCACAGAACATACACAGTGAAGGCGAGACAGAGGTAGACAGGATCTCTGAGAAGGCATTTCAATAGGATTTTCTCTCAGTGTGACAGTTTTTCCTTCTGGCTGCTAGTACGGTTATCTTGCTGCTGCCAACCCATAACAGTACGTTTTGTTAGCTGGATAGACTCTGAAGTTAATGTGTAACAATAAGTGAAAACTGGACCGGGGGAGGGGAGAGATGGCGTAACCTGGTATTCCATCTTTATATTAATTAACTTGATTTTACAGCGTAATGTAGTTTTCTAGTTCACCGTTATTACTAGCATATGTACTTTTGTTGTTAATAATAATTCTGTTATTATAAGGGCTCCCTTATATCACCTTCCCATGTGGTCTATTCTTCACCATAGGTTAACTATAGGCACTCTGGTTATAATTTTTCTGTTTCTCTCTTTTAAATATTTTATTAGGTTGAGATAGTTGGACACCTTAACAATGACCTCTAAAGGTTTGATAATACTACCACGTGTAAACGGCCAAACGCAGAGCTTGCTGCAGGAACTTTTAAATCAGTCATTTCACTTATCCAATTAATCATACTTATTTTTGAAATCTGTGTCATTCGGTGGGAACAGCACACATGTTTCACTCTGGAGTACACAGCGATAAACTGAGTGTTTAGCCAGTCTGAAAAACGCGATATGAACATCGCTGTCTGATTTCTATTTATGAGCGATTTCACAACTTAAAATTTGTATTTGTACAGTGTTTTGTGCAAAGTTTATTTTTTGATAGCTGTAAAGCATTTCAAATATTAAGGTTTCTCAGAACAAGGTTAAATTGGATTTCCAGGTCCCCCTTCCCCACCCCCACAGCCAGGGTAATTCGTTAATTGAGGTTGCGCCCAGTGAATGCTTCCCTGGAAGATTTCTGAGCGTCCGTGGGGTAACCTGGTCTATGCTGGCGGAACATATGGTGTGTGCTCCGATCCGCAGAAAGCAGTAGGAGCCTTCTGTGTGGGAAATGGGACATGGGACAAGGTCAGTTATGTTCCCGTTCTTAAAGTGCGTGCAACACAAAGCAATTTGTACTTGATCCAAGACTTTAATTAAAACTCTAGAACATTCTTCTTTTCATTCCAGAATCGTTCAGTGAAACATTTTTTTGCAATAGTTTTGCAATTGTGACCATAGTCAGCCTTCAGGCTAGTATTTTTTAAAAGGTTATTATTATAGATATAGAATTACTGTTATTATAGGTATATATTACCACAGGCGATATGGGTGAAGGAAAAATCTTTCTTTCTGAAACTTCCCATTCCTTCCCTCTACAACCTGTTTATTTCACTCATTTGCACATGAAGTTTAAAATAAATGCCATCTGAGAAGAAAATTGTTTCATTATTTTATTCTTTTTCCCCCCTTGGCTTGGTTTGATAAAGTAGACATTTAATAGTTCGCAGAGCATTGCCGCAAAGTCAGCATTTTGCTCATTGTTGATCTGGCCCCAGAGGCTGGTGCAGAAATACATACAGAGTTAGGGACACAGAGATAGGGCAATTCTGGACACGTGTGTGGTCTTCAGATGTTGTCAAAGAATATTCACTGTATTTTGATAGGTTGTGTTGACACAGAACTCCCCTTATGCTGTATCTTTATCTCATATTATGAATCACTTTAAAATATTGAGGTACTTGAAGTAATATACTACAATTACTTGCTTTATTTAAAAAAAAAATTCATTTACCATTAAAATGAGTTCAACTTTAGGTTCTGTTCTCAGAGAACTGAAATAGAAAAATCTCCTATTTAAAATTCAACTGAAAGGTGGCTATTACTTTCTACAGCATTTTAAAGGGATTATAACTTTATTAGGTCATCTGGAAAACCAGATGGGCTAAGCTCCAAAATGGCACCAACACCTACAGCATTTTATTCTGAATAGTTTGGTGACAAATTGAATACTTTTCCATTTGTATTTGTAACTAAAATATTTTAGTGAAAATAATATTTAATACTTGTTGCACAAATAAGAAATTTTATTGCTAAAATCACTTGAGGGGTTTTATGCTTTGTCTCTTCTTGGGTATTTGTTGGGAAATGCTTATAAAATTTTATTTGTAGAATTTGTATTTCAGTATCATTTGACTTATGGACCTAAGATATTACCATGAAGATCAGGAAAAGATGAATTTGATATTTGCATCAATTTCTAGTCTTCCTTAGACATTTTCAGTTCTGGGGTCAGATGGTAGGTCCTGACCATGTGTAACATCATCCTTGACTTTGGGAGCACACAAAGCAGCCATCGTACTCCCGACTGCTTGGTGTTGCTTCCATCTGCCTGGCTTTAGCTGTGGTCTTCTCTCCAGTTCCCATTGGAAGCTGAGGCCAGTCTGGAGTACCACGTAATTCGGCCAGTGTCCTGACACTCCCCAGACCTGGGTCTTACTCCCGGAAGACTGAACAATTTGAACTGCTGTCACTCATCCTAATTGCCATTATTAATTCTGTTGCTTGGTGCTATGAGTTATATTATAGTACTACTGCTTCAGTACTGATACTCAAGGCCAAAATCAAACCCAAGGTACCTACACTCTTTTGGACACTAGCATTGAACTGTTATCTACCCTTTTTGGATCCAACACTAGCACCTTGTTAGTTTCTCCAGCCCTGGTTTCTTTGTATCCTGGTAATAGGTTCTTCTCTCCCTTTTTGTGTGTCTCATAATTTTTTTTGAATGCCAGACATCATGTGTAGACTAGTAGAGCCTGAATAGTGAATAGTGTTCATACCTAGAAATGGCATGCCTCTTCTCTTTTTTCTTTTCTTTTTTATCCTCACCCAAGGATATGTTTATTGATTATAGAGACAAAAAAAAAAAAAAACATGTGAGAGAGAAACATCAATAAATTGACTCCCATATGCTCTCCAACTGGGCTCAAACCCATAACCTAGCTGTGTGCC